TTTTTTTGAGTAATCATATTTCAAGTAACTCGATTAATCATCGTTTTGAGTAATCAAAATCTTGATTACTCGAGTAATTGATTAACCGAATAATTGATTAACCAACTTGCTCGAGTAATCGAATAATCGCACAGCCCTAGTTTAAACAGAAAAATTATTTTTTAAACAAACTTAAAAATAAATGAATCGGTGAGTACGACAATCGTACAAGTCCAAAACTAGACATTTTAAAGTAAGATAGCACGTTTTGTTTTTTGTTTTATATTGAATAATTTTGAAATCGGTACCGAGTATCGATCAATACTTAAAAGTATCGACTCAGCGCATCACTAGTCAAAATAAAGTCTACGCTAAAATTAGTTGCAGCTTTTTGACATAATTTTCAATGTAATAACTGTTAAAAAAGCTGCAACTATCTTTAGAGTCGACATTATTTCGAATATGGATAGGTCCCTATACTATTTTTGACCAATGCCTGCAATGACTGGGAGGCATTGAGGGCTGCGGGTGCGTTAAGATCTGATTAGCCTTTTCCCACCACTGACAACAGCAATGACAATTGTCACCATTAGAGCGCTTAAAATAAAATGTGCGACATAGTATTAGGCGCAGTAGTAAATAGAATAGTCTGCTGTTGAATTTTGTCATTGGAGCCTTTCTTGTTCTTCTACATAGGGTGGATGGTAATTAACTATGTATGTATGTATATAAATATTACCGTTTTTAGTACTCTAGTAGATAATATAAAAAATTAGACATGTAGAGTTAAAATTGTATTTGATTAAAATTGTCTTTTTTTTAATAAATAAATCTTAAAATAAAATCTATTATGTTATAAATATGTAAAAGGACATTTTTTTCTTTCAGTCCCACATACAAATTTCGTTGTCGGTCACAAAAAAAATATATAAATTCGTCGAGAATACTTTGTATGGAAGAAATAACTGACCCCGTCCAACACAAAAAGTTTTTTTTTGTTATACTTCATTATTTATAAAAAAGTAGCGGAAACAAATTTTTAATTGAAAATTATTATTTTTGCTAGCGCTAACTGAAAAATTAAGATTTTTAGAGGCCGACAACGAAATTTCCACATGGGACCGAAAGAAAAAAAAAGTCATTTTATTTGACACAGTCTAACACGTACATACGAGTACATACAGTGAGCGTCAAAAATAAGTATACCGTAGACGTTTTGATGATTTTATTTATTTATATTTTCCATACCATTTTTTTTTTATTTTTTTTTATACAAGTATATTTCATTCAACATTTTTTGTATTTTATACAGAACTCAGAAAAAGGCAATTTTTCAATTCCAATAATTTTGAGTACGCAGTTTTGTAGTGGATTTTGCTGTTGATTGAAATATATTTTTTTACAAGAAAATTAGAAAAATTTGGTATGAAAATTACAAGTATGTAAATAAAAACGTCACAACGTCAGGGTGTACTTATTTTTGACACCCACTGTATATAGATAATAAACAATATATGTATATATTTTTCCAAGTGTAGCAATAAAAAATTGTAAACTCAGGATAAAACAAATACATATTCCCGTTTCTTATATTTAATAGGTCTAATTATTTACAAGAGTTTACCATGCAGCAAGTTTGCACCCGCTAATTCGGTAAATTTTAACTTTTTTAGTAATAATAAGTATTCAAATACAAACATATATAAACAAAAACTCAACTATACATACATAGGTACGACAATAAGAAAAGGAGAACTATTAAACAAAATAAATAAGAGGCCCAGTCAAGCGAATACGCTAATTGCTGTACATATCGAAAATGCGGTAGTTGGTGCGACTTTAGTGCGTAGGTGATGTTGGTGCAAAATACGTACGTATGTATGTACATATGTAGTCCAAATCAAGATTTGCCAAAGAATATTAATCAAAATTTCTAAGCTACGCTCTTGCCAATACACAGCTACATACACGTACAGCTACTTCTATGTATGTGCAATACTTGCGAGTATAAATGCTGTAATGGTTGCAATTTTTATTTATTTTATACATAAATATGCATTTACGCATTCTGTGGTTTTATTTTCGTCTATTTATTTATTTGTATGCGCTTGCACTTTGGTTCAACTGTACTGGCGACCAGTGAACGAACTACTGCCGCATTTACTACACTACTACTCACACTCATCGCCAAGCTGGGCACGCTGTAACAATGCTCCTTTAGGCTGAGCTGATCTTCACCGCCGCTGCCTTCATCTTCAGCATCGGCTGAGCTCATCGAATCGAAATGCATTGGCTCGATGAACGCGTTCTTATTCGAAATTTTCTCAGGCGGACAAGTGCAGAATTCTTCACTGACCGCATCACAGCTCTCCGTATTTGTTTCCTCTTTTTTAAAACTAAAGTCTTTGCTGAAATCGAATACGTTCTTTGATGGATGCACGCGCCGGCGCTTGGTGCACTGCTTACATACTTTATCGCGTTTGATTTGGAAATTTAGTAACTTGGCACGGAATGTTTGACGCAGGGCTTTCGACTTTTTCTGTATCTTTGGCACTTTGAGTCGCAGCTTGGCGGACATGCCAAGCGGTTCGTTTTTGGACGGATTCGTTGCATCGACGTGCGCTACTGGCGCTGGCGTTGTTGTACTCGTACTTGTATTGTCTGTTGAGTCGTTGTGGTTGTTACTTGGACCTTTTTCTTTGTTTGCATTGCCGTTACTCTTTGGCTTCGTGTCTGAACTAACTGTGCCCTCTGTGCCTTGTGTAATCGCATCGACCGTTATTAACGGATCGTTTCCACGACCATTGCTCTGCGTCGCTTTGCCGAGCTCCGGATCGATCAGCTCAAACTGATCGCTGTTCTCTTTGTACTCGACCAAAGTAATAGTTGGTNATTTTTGCGAGAACGAAACAGAGCGTTTCTTGTTATTGCCATTACCGTCACTATCCTTTTCCTTGCGCCCTCCACAAGGACGACAATCTGAGCTCGAACTGGACGTGCGTTTCGAGGAGCAGTGTGCCGCCTCTTGTTCCTCGGCAGTTTTCGTGCGTACTGTAACTGCTGTTGGTTCGGCAGCCTCAATAGCGTCGACATTTAGCGGCGGCCGCGTCACAACATTTTGTGGTAAGTGGCGCTTCATGCGATTATCCAATGTGCGATTCAATTCGTCGATCTTGTCCAAATGTGCATCGATTGAGTTCTTCACCGTTTCAAGCGTGTGCGCAGTAGCTGCAGTCGGCGCTGTCTTAGGACTGTTGTTATTTTCCAAAACAACTTCCAATCCGCTTTTTTCCACAACATCTTGCCGCAACTGAAGCGCCCGATCTATCGTAAGCCTTGTGCTATCCTCCCGATTTATTTCGATCTTCACATTTTCTTGACGTCGCAACGCCAATTCGCCGCTCCTAACACTGTCGCAGTCACCCCCTAACGACTCGCAACCCCCTAATAAATCTGCATATATATTATTGTTGTTGG